TCCGGAGTTTAACTAATGAACTAATCACTCGAAGACTGGGTAGTAAGGAACAAGCTCGACTACGAGGTTTATCAAGAAACGGGTTAATTAAAGAATACTGGGAATAGGTAATTCAAAGGAGTAGAGTAGTGGTTACGTTTATTATACGTTATCTATAAACTGAGTAGCTTGGAGTTTTTACTTTTAAGAAGTGGAATGAGTCGATAAACAGGTACTTCCTTGAATCACTATACGATTAAGTAAATAGGTTTTACGAGGAAACTGGATTGAGACTCGCTGGACTTTCTTTTAGAAAAAGTAATAACTAGTTGTTGCTTGATATTTTAGATAAAGTGTAATTCGATGCCTTTCTTTCTGAGGTGATGGAAAGAGTAGGTTCTTATAACTTTTTGTCCTCTTGGTTAATTGGTGAGTGCAGGTATTCCTGCTAGTCTGCTCTAGCCCAACCGACCATACTAATGAGAGTATAATTCATTAGTTTGCTTCCTTGATTGATCACATACTAACATTTTACGTATCATAGTGTTTCCTCCGAGGTTCTACTCGTTATCGTGGAAATATTTTATGTAAGGCTTCTGCTCTTCTCATACTCGTATGTAAGTTAGTATTGGGCTCTTATGTTCTGTTTGCTCTGTCTTACTTCTAGTTATGTGTAACTGAATGGACTCATTTACTTGTAGTTCATCTTTTCTCAAAGTCCTCGTGCTCTTTGCTTCTCATGCTCGTCATCATTCTTGGCAACTCTCTTACTAGTGAGTTGTTCTTTCATTTCTTTCATTCTAGTAAACCATCTTTTACGTGGGAAAAAGGACTCATGCTTTTCCTTTTTTATTGGGACAGATTGATTTTACGGCATTTCTATTTCATTGTTTCATTCATAGACCTTTGATACTAGGTCCTTAAGTTGTATCTAAATGTTTGTTCTATTTATTTTGTAGTTGAATCTTTGAGACTAGATTCTTAAGATGTCTTGAAGGTTTTTAATCTTCTTATATGTATTTTTTGTAAATTGTTTTATTATTTTTATTTTGAAGTCCTTTTGGTGCTTAGTATTAAGCGCTCGAGGGCTGACATTCCCCAACCACAAGGTAGAGTTCTCTCTGACTTTTAATGCTATGTTCTTCTGGATGCTCTGAACTTCCTAAGTAGTATTGCTGCGTTAGGTATGTCTTTGGCTTCTAGCCATGTGTCTTTGTCAGCTGTACTGTTCTTATATCTGACTAAATAGAGTCTCGTGTCTTTACCATTAAGTCGCACTAACTTATCGTCGATTACTCTTTGTATGGTTCCTTGTACTTCATCTTCGATTGGTACCTCTGCCGTGTCCACTGTCTTCCTGTTCGGGAATTTGGACTCATCTGATTGTTCGTACCTTTTCAGAAGAGATACTGGAAAGGTAGGGTGTTTCCTTTCTATCTTACCTGTCAGTATGACTTCTACTGCGTTCCTGCCGTGTAGTTCCTTTAATTATGAATGGCCCAATGAATGCATCTTTCAATTTCTTTGGGCCTTGAAGATTATTAAAATTTACTGTTGATATGAGTACTAACTCGCCAACTTTGAAATCTGGTTCGATATGTGATTTATCCCAGCGTTCTTTATTGTACTGGGTGGCTTCTTTGATGCACTCTTCCGCGTGCTTCCTTGCTTTAGTCAGCATGACTTGAAAGTTGACTGCTGTAGGATGAAAAGACGAGTCTTTTGGTCTCAGAAAATCCTTGGGTGTCCTAATATTAAACCCTCTTTCCACCTCGAAAGGCGTTTTACCTGTAGTACTATGCATGCTGGTATTATAAGCTATTTGCAATGCTGGTAATAACGACTTCCAATCATGAGTATACCCGTCTGCGTCTTTACATGCTAGACCATATCCGCAGTATCTTCGAATGAGATCTTCTAAGCTACTGATCATCCTTTCAGCTAATCCGTCAGTCTGTGGATGATAAGCTGTTGGCATTGATAGTTTAGTTCCTGTTAAGGAGAATAATCCCTTCCAGAATTCCGATGTGAACTTTGGGTCTCGATCACTAATGATCACTTGAGGTAGTCCTACGTCCGATATGATTCTATCCCAAAATAACAAGGCTACGTCCATTGCCGTAGTGTTCTTGTGACATGCTACAAACCTGCACCTTTTTGAAAATCTATTAACTACGACTAATACACAATCAACGTTATCATGTCTGGCTACCGGCAATCCTGTCACAAAATCCATATTTATTATCTCCCATGGAATTCTTGGTTCTTCGATTTCTTGTAATAAGCCTAATCTTTTCCCTGTAGGTTTGTTTGCTTTCTGACATCTATTGCACGTTATGATATATTCCTCAGTGCACTTTCGCCATTCTGGCCACCATGCGGTTTGTTTAACCCTTTCTATAGTTTTGTCTAGGGATAGGTGTCCTGACATTACGTCATCGTGACATATTTTTAGAATTTCACTTATGGTGTTTTTCGCTGTTATTACCATAACGCAAGCATGCTTTTCTCGGTGGTATAATACTCCACTTAGCAACGTGAACCGTCCTTCTTCAAAGGACTTTTTCCACACTCCTTGCAATGATGCGATGAGTTCTGGCACGCTGTATTCTGTGCATAAAATTTCGATTATTTTCACCGCATTCGGTTCTGAATCGTATGCGTGCTTAATTTGGTCAAAGAATTCTTCTGAGAGATCCGTAATACTAATGCCCATTATGGGTAGGTCTTGGGTATCATCGTCCGGTTCCCATGCTGGGTTGTCCATATTATTGTCGAGTGCCATTCTGCTAAGAGCATCGGCATTATCATGTTTCTTTCCCTCTCTATGAGTAATTGTCATACACGATCTGTACTCTTGTATAGCTATTTGCCATCTGAGCATGTGACGATTTGGGGTTTTCATGTTCAGTAACGCTTTCAGTGCTGTGCAGTCTGTTATCACTTTGAAGAAGGCTCCGTCCAGGTAGTAGTGAAACTTATCTAGCGCCCATACTAGGCATAGATTTTCAAGTTGTGTTGCTCCGTAGTTAAGTTCTGATTGTTTGAGTTTTCTCGAGATACAGCTGATTAATCCTTTGTAAGGTTTTCCGTCGATTATCTGGATTTGCTGAAGGGTTGCTCCTAATCCATCGAAACTGGCGTCTACGTACACTTTAAATGGCAATTTAAAGTCCGGATGCAATAAAAAGGGTGCTTCTGTCAGCCTTTTTTTCAAGGTGTTCCAGGATACTACTCTATCCTGGGTCATTTCGAATGATACTCCCTTCTGTAGGAGTTTGTATAGTGGCCCGCTTACTTTAGCAAAACCTTCCAGGTGGCTTTGGTAATAATTTGCATATCCCAAGAAGGATTGTACTTCCTTGACCGATTGTGGTATCTGCTTTTGCAGTACTGCTGCTACTTTATTTTGATTGATTGCTATCCAAAGTCCTGAAACTATATGTCCTAGGGCTTTTAGTTCTTCAAAAGCGAAATTAGTCTTTTGTAGAGATATGGTCATGCCCATCTAGATAATTTTGGTAAAGACGTGGGCCAGTCGTTGTAAGTGTTCTTCCCATGTTTTCGAAAATACTATAATATCATCTATGTAGATAATAAGCCATCCTTCACTTAATTCTGCTGCGAATTCCGTGTCCATCATTCGTTGGAAATGTGCGGGGGCTCCTTTTATACCGAAGGGCATTTTAAGGTACTCATGTATCCCTTTATGCGATATTATTCGTAACATTTTCCTAGTATCTTCGTTGACTAAGCTCTGGTGGAAGCCTTTCATCACGTCCATAGTTGATATATATAATGCTGCACCTAAGTTTGTCAAGCAATGACTAATTCTAGGCATCGGATAGCAATCTGGGACTGTGAACGTATTCAGGGCTCTAAAGTCTCCGCACATACGGGATTTGCCATTATGCCATGCAATAATAACAGGCGTTGTGATGTCAACTTCCTCATCTGCTCCTACTTTCCGTAAGATTCTGTAGCTCATTAATTCTTCAATATGTTTTTCAATTTCAACTCTACTACGCGGACTTGCCGGGTATGCTTGTTTCTTAAGGATGGGCGGGTAAGGCTTTTCTATGGTCAGTTTTAACTTGAGCTTGTATCCTGTGATAGTTCCTATCGGGTTCTCACCATAAGCAAATGCTTTCTTGTATTTCTTAATCACTGCGTGCAGTGAATGTAGTTCTGACGCTTTCAGTCTAGGGGAAATATTACATTCTTTGATTGCTTTATCAAAACTATCATCTTCTTTGTGGACAACTGATATCTTTCCTTCCTTCATAAGACTCAGAAGGAATTTTTTCTTTTTGTTTTCGTTTCCTATGGTAAAAAACTTCTCCCTACCGTGTACTATATCTATTCCATATAGTCTCAGGTATTCTCCTCCCAAAATAAGATAATTTGAGGTTGCGTTTTCCATCACAACGAACTCAGGTGTGATTCTCACCGATCCTAAGCGGTGTGGGAATATTATGGGTATTTCAATAACTCCTACGGCTTTCAGTTTACTATCACATCCTCTGAATGTCATGGTGCTTGGTGGCAACAAGTGGTTTCTCCAATCTGGAAATAGTCTGTTTAAGTAATCTATTCCTACTATAGAACATGCTGCTCCGCTATCTAGCAGTCCATTAGCTTCTGATTTATCTCCTAACACGACCGTAGTTATACAATGATGCCCGATAGTATGAGCCCTGCCTCTGTCTGGTTTGCTCATCATTAATCGAGCGTCTGACGTTTGTTTCGAGTCATACGTTCCATCCCATTGTTGTGGGGTAACTGCTTGTGATTGCAGTTCTGCGATATCTAATCCTTCTTCAAGCTCGATGGTTATCGTGGCGATGTCACGTGTTATATTTGAATTGTTCTCGAGTTCTGCATGTTGTCTTTTCGACATCGTTTTAAACGTTAATATTGTGTCGTTTATTGGTATTTTCAGCTTCGGTTGCTTTCCCATACTTATGATCATATTGAATTCGTTTAAACTCTGGTTTCCAATGGTTAAATGATTTATCATTTCATCTTGAACTATCAAGAATTGTATATTTACGAAACATGGCTTCACGTGGTGTTCCATTTTGATAGGTAGTCTGATTAGTCCTAAGATTTTCAGATCATACGGTCTTTCTTGATTTCTCGGTTCATTGTATGAATGCATATCCATCTTCCAGGTCGGCCAGTATCTTTCTAAAAGATGTGCTGGTACTAATGAAGGTAATATCGCCGTGTTTACCAGCATCGTTCCTCTGAATCCTTTGATTGAGATATTCAGGAATGAATTGATTTCTAAAAATTCCGTTATTGGTTGCAATATGAAAAGAATTGGTTCTACTGAGCTATTGATAGTTTCAGCTTCTCTAAGGTTATTACCTAGTTCCTCGATTGAAGTAGTGTTATTTTGAGTTTCTTCCTCATCTGTATTGACATTCTGATTTTCGACCTCTGAAGTCATCATATTCCCTTTGTAAAGAAACATGTCTACATTTCTTACGCAGTACTCATCTCCTTCGTCTTCGCTGGTGTCTGACTTAGATTCATCAACCTGATTGTCTTTGTCTTCGATTTGTTCCTCAAATTTGAAATCATCGTCTTCACAGCTAACTGCGTGAATAGGTTTCTTATCAAACCTTTGTTTGTCATCTCGATTCCTGAAGGGCGGTCTCTGCTTGCTGCTTTGATCTGCTGTGCCGGATGTGTTACCCGCATATTCCTTAGCTTTGGTTTCCTTGGCATAAGATGTTTTTGTGTCTTTCTGATTTGTAAAAGTAACTCGGAGGTTGTTATCTCCTCTCATTGCTACCTTTCCTACCGAAGTGTTTGTGACTATATCCTCAAAGATATTCATGAACTTTTCAAAGTCTGAGTAATCATGTAATCTGCATCTTACGGCATGCTCTAGCTCACCGTTGCAGTTTCCTAATATCCGATCAATCTGTTCTTTCGTTGTAAAGAATGACCAGGCAGCTTCGATCCTTTTCCGTTGTGTAAGCAACCAAGGAATTGGACGTAATCTATGTTCGTTTCTGAATCTGTCGCGTTCAAACGCTGTTCCCATCTTCTTTTTCCAAAGATCCGTACCAAACTGTTCTTTGATGAGTTTCTTCCATTCCAGCCAAGGTGCTCCTTTAGTGGTCTTCTTCTTACTGTTGTACCAAGTACGGGATTTACCTGTCATAATAATCGCAAGTTTGCACGTAATCAAGACATCAGGCATTTGAAATTCCTCTTGTACGTTATCTATCCATTCAAGCCATTCGAGATGGTTATATTCACCTTCTCCATTAAATTTCGGCCAATCTTTGGCTAGTGGGTAATCCTTTTGTAATTGTTTCAGAATGTCCATATCTAAAGATGGCTTACTTTCTATGGTTGCATCTTGCTCATCTAGCTCGTTACTAGGACTATTTGTGCTTATTACTTGTGATATCGTTGCACCATTTTTATGTTTGGGTTCTGGTCTCTCAAACGCTCTTTCTGGAGGGTGTGTTACCGGTTTCTTTACAAATTCATGCGCGAATGGGTTGTTTCCCACAACTTCCTCTGGCTCTATATCGTAGTGTTCTTCTTCCACTCGTTGTGAGGTTATTTTATTCTCCAGTTTGTCTATCATCGACACTATTCTAATCACATTTTGGTGGATTAGTGAGCAATTGTGTGAATGATCTTCTAATTTTCGATGTACTTCGTTAATAAGGCCTGCTAGATGTCCACAGTTAGCTTCTATTATCTCTTTATGACTAATTATCTCATTGGAAATCATGTCGTCGACTTCTTCAAGATGAACTGCTAGCATCTTTTCGATATCTACTTGATTAACATTGCTCTTGATGTCATCTAAGTTGTTTCTTATTTCATCATTTATTATATGGATGCACTTATCCCATTTTTGGCTTAAGAGTCTGGTAGACTGATGTATCTCGTCTTGCACGTTTCTATGCAATTCTTTAAGTTTGCTTTCTAAGTTGCTCTCATTATTTTCTATGGAGGCAATAGATTTTGGTGATAGGCTCTCAGTTTGTAATCTCATATGTTTGAATTTCGTATTTAAACTGAATTCTTTATCTGATGATAAAGGACTTGTTGTTCTTGGTAATCCTTTTATCGTAAATGGAGAAACTTTATGTTCCGTCTCTTTGAGTATTTCTTCAATACTTTTAGTTTTATTCTCATAAATTTTGTTACTTTGTTCGTTTGGGAATGGTTTTATCAAGGAATTTTCATTGATTTTATTTTTCTCAGATGTGGCACGTTTGATTTCATTTTGCTCTATTGATAGGCTTTTGTTATGTAGTTCAATTGTGGCACGTTTAAACACATTGTCAGTTGGCATAGATGTTTTGCTATTAAAAGTGTTATTATTTCGTACTGGAACTTCGGGGACTTGAATAACAGCTTCACTAGCGGGCATAGGTTTAGAGAAAACAACATTTGGCATATCTGTAACAACATTTGACAACAACGGTGGACTTCCTACATCTTTTATAATTCTTCTGGAATTTAAAAATGGACTGAGAGTAGTTATGAATGTGTTACTTATTGTGGCTGATCCTTGCCTTTGCCCTTGTTCGGACCTTTCATTCCTTTCATTGCTCTGTAGTAAGCTCGGCTGAAGGATAACATGTGTTGCATGTTCTGAGCTTCTTCGTCCGCTTGGCTTGGTTTCTTGTAAGGAGTGTTGTTCGTCTTCTGCGATTGGTTTCTCAATGGACCGGCTGAGGATTCCGCTTGGATCTGTTGTTGGTTGGTCTGGTTTGACGGCCTCTTGAGGTACTGCTCTTTCCCTATGAAACCTCCTGAGGTTCTGGCTAGGAGAGCTTTCTCCTCGACATATGGATCCCAAGGATGGCACAGGGCTCGTACGGCTTCCTCCCCGATTAGAATGGTCAGAGTGTCGTGAGTCGACTTCCACAATCCTAGATAGATCATTAGGTTCCGTGTATTGTTTGGGTTCGCGGACTGTGCGTCTCTCCACTTGGTGAAGTGGTGCTCGTGTAATTTCAAGATATGATTCTGTTGCTCTAGGTCCTGAGCTGCTTGTATTTCTTCCACTGTTGGTTTGGTTAGCTGGTTCGGGTTCATCTGAACGTCGCGGCTTTCCTCCAACGGAGCTGGATCTTCTGATGGAGTCGGAGTAGTTTGGCCGTTCGAGGCTGCTAACTCTAGAAGATTTTCTCGGAGGCATCGAATATGAGTCAGACAAAAGAAATATATTTTCGAACGAATTTATAAATGTGAATAACAAATAGTAGAGGGGAATTCTTATTCACTAGATTGATCTCCAGACAACGTTGTTGTCGTAGACTGTGTCGTAACCGTGGTATGAGGAGCTGGGGGTAATTGGCTGCTCAGGTTCTGGGCTGACAAGGCTGATGGGGTTCTGTCGGCTGCCTGGTTCTCTCTGGCCTGATCCGCTTTGGACTGGTTGGTCTTCGGAACTGATTAGATTAGGTATAAGTAATTATTTTTCTCGGAACAACGAAAAAAAAAGAAAAAAATGTATAGCACACTAGACTAACTCTTGGTTTTGAAGTTTTTCTGCTTCTGTTTCGAGTCTATTGATACAATCTAGGATCTCACCGACTATATCTGTACCTTGTACTTTATTTAGTTGGATCTGAATGAGCGGGTCGATTACTATTTGTAGTTTCTTGCTTATTCCAAGAAGCTCAGAAGCTGTCAAGTTTGTTGATTGTGAAATTTTGACTTCTCGTTGTTTGAAAATAAGGATATCTTGATTCAGAATAAAGTAGCTGATGAAACGAGAAAAATATTTTTAGCAAGGTAAGTAATCTAATGCGATGTAAAGGTACTTTACGATTTACTTATCAATATTCTTTTAAATGCTGTCTTCCAACCAAGCTTCAATTACTTCGACTTGTACTATCAATCTTAGGTAATTCAGATATACGTGGTTCGGACTTAGGTGCTCAAAACCAAAGTATCTACGGTGTGTTGGATATTCTTTGTCTGTAAAAGGGTTCTCGTTGATGGTCGAAAAGCACGGTAGTTCTTGGAGTAAAGCAATAGAAAATTGATCTATTGTTGAAAGGGAAATATTGAAATACGAATACTTCACAAAAAAGAAAAATAGAGATGTTAAAAAAAAATGATATATTTTTTTATGGTTTTTGATGTGTTTTTTCGAAAAGGAACTGATTAAATGGAAGAAGAAACTAAAAAAAAAAAAAAAAATCCGATTTAGTCTCGAGTCTCGTTATCACTCGATGAGGCCCCCAATTGTCAGGGTGGCTACAAATATACGTACTGAGTAGGTCTAGTTCTTACTCAGACAGAGGTCCTGACTGATATATTCCGCTGGGTACGGGGAATAGGATACTATGTAAGATACTAAAATTCGGAAATAGTAATATAATATTAGTATGTTTTAATTACTAATGTGAAAAATTTAATCTCTTTGTTAGGAAAGTCACGGGCCCACTGTGGATACAGAGGAGGGTGGTCAATCCTGGACCCGTGCAATTCTCTTTCGCCTGAATAGGCTAGGAGTAGCCTGATATCTTAAAGATAAACAGGGATCTCGTCCAACTTTACGTTGCGAGAACTGAAGGTTATGACCAGAGCAAAGATTACTTACAGTAGGTAAGCGGGAAGGTACGGTCGAATTAGGATATCCGGAGTTTAACTAATGAACTAATCACTCGAAGACTGGGTAGTAAGGAACAAGCTCGACTATGAGGTTTATCAAGAAACGGGTTAATTAAAGAATACTGGGAATAGGTAATTCAAAGGAGTAGAGTAGTGGTTACGTTTATTATACGTTATCTATAAACTGAGTAGCTTGGAGTTTTTACTTTTAAGAAGTGGAATGAGTCGATAAACAGGTACTTCCTTGAATCACTATACGATTAAGTAAATAGGTTTTACGAGGAAACTGGATTGAGACTTGCTGGACTTTCTTTTAGAAAAAGTAATAACTAGTTGTTACTTGATATTTTAGATAAAGTGTAATTCGATGCCTTTCTTTCTGAGGTGATGGAAAGAGTAGGTTCTTATACCTTTTTGTCCTCTTGGTTAATTGGTGAGTGCAGGTATTCCTGCTAGTCTGCTCTAGCCCAACCGACCATACTAATGAGAGTATAATTCATTAGTTTGCTTCCTTGATTGATCACATACTAACATTTTACGTATCATAGTGTTTCCTCCGAGGTTCTACTCGTTATCGTGGAAATATTTTATGTAAGGCTTCTGCTCTTCTCATACTCGTATGTAAGTTAGTATTGGGCTCTTATGTTCTGTTTGCTCTGTCTTACTTCTAGTTATGTGTAACTGAATGGACTCATTTACGTGTAGTTCATCTTTTCTCAAAGTCCTCGTGCTCTTTGCTTCTCATGCTCGTCATCATTCTTGGCGACTCTCTTACTAGTGAGTTGTTCTTTCATTTCTTTCATTCTAGTAAACCATCTTTTACGTGGGAAAAAGGACTCATGCTTTTCCTTTTTTATTGGGACAGATTAATTTTACGGCATTTCTATTTCATTGTTTCATTCATAGACCTTTGATACTAGGTCCTTAAGTTGTATCTAAATGTTTGTTCTATTTATTTTGTAGTTGAATCTTTGAGACTAGATTCTTAAGATGTCTTGAAGGTTTTTAATCTTCTTATATGTATTTTTTGTAAATTGTTTTATTATTTTTATTTTGAAGTCCTTTTGGTGCTTAGTATTAAGCGCTTGAGGGCTGACAAACTCATACACAGGGGTGAAGACCATCATGCAGCCTCTCATGATTGGTTGTTGCTGTCTGAAACTTCAGAGATTTCCAGCAAATTCTTCAACAGCAACAAGTCAAGGATGATAAGTCTTGGATTCAATCAGTCTGAAGCTCATAAAACTCAAACAGGCGCAAAAGACCGTCTCACAAGCTTGTGATCTCCTATGATTTAGTGAGTTGCTTGGGTCAGATTGATGTTTGGTGAGACTCTGGGAGCAAGAGTCTTGATCATTTCAAGGGGTGAGCTGTTTGGTTGAGGCGTCGCAAGAAGCAATGGGTGTTTGTGTGCAGCAAATCAGTGGTGGAACAATTGAGAGATCAACGTTTGATGGCAGTCCCAGAGCAACCTATCCAGGATGGCTTGGCTCAGCGCCGCGAGGACTGACTGCTGAGCCATGTGAGCGCAATGACTCAGTGGTTGGTTTTGGGAAGGTCAATACCAACTGCTGACCAAACAGGCCGCCTATGGGCCCGCGTGGTGCGCTTACAAGTCAGGCTGAAGGCTGTTCTGGGCGCAAACAGGAGCGGCCTGAGATGGCCAGCCCTAGGTGACCTTTGGTCTGCCCAGGGACAATCTGCGGGTCGGAATTCGACCCGATGCGTTGAAGACCGGTCAGGATCAACTTCTGACCCAGGATCCCCCGTGGTGTACAGCTGTTTCAACAAAGATTGATTTTTTTAAAATCTCGCCAATGTGCAAAACCCGGGTTTTGACCCTCACTTGATTTTGTCTATCTGCTAATTGGAAGAATACAGAAAAGAATAAACCTGTAATCAAGTTTTGTCTCTGGTTTTAACCGCTGCGGAGACAACTTTCTCCAAAAAAAGTTGTCAACCTTTCTTGAAACAGCTGTAATAATTCCAACTTTCCCATTCCACTTTGTTAAGCTTGCAAACATTGAGGTATCAATGACATCATCCAGCTTACCGTTTCTTCCAATTATTTATCTTTTTCCTTTACCTCTTTCATTTCTTCCAATGTATCCAATTCATCATCAACAGCATTAAGTAATAAGTAGCACATCTTTGAAGTCCTTGCCCTCCACACTGGTAGTGAAGCAGTCATCTTTGATATAGTCTCAGAAAAGAAGTGTTATTCATTTTTTCTTTTGTTCTCAATAATAAATAGTAAAAGAAATTGTTTTCTGCAGAAATTATGCAACATCGTTAGTTTTCATTTATACAAAAAAGAGTCTGTGCTGCATTATTAGTCGAGTCATATAATTGTGTTTCTTTTTACATTCATTTATTTTACCGCTAGCCACCCCGTAGGGTGTTGTTGTGGCTTTGTTAATTTTGAACGTTCTTCACCAGACACTCAGCAGATGTTTTTCGTAATTCCATAAGTACATACCAGGAGGATACTCCCAATGCTTTGGCTTACAAGGAAGATTGCTTGCAATCTCAAGTGAAAGTCTCACACTTTACGCGTGCTAGGCCATCAGGTAGAGGTACCCAGCAATGCTGCCCATACCTAAGGAGTTACGGTTTGCTCGCAACAACTGGTATGGTCGAGAATGAGGGTTTTCGGGTATTTAGTCTCATCGGGTATTTCTCAAAACACCGTATGGGCAAAGTATTGTCAAAAGCTCGTGCAACGCATTGGCAACTCAGGAAGGGTAAGTGGGCGAATACAATCAAAGTTTCATGATTACAACTCGGTAACCCTAACACAAGCAAACAAAATATAGTAAATAGAATGAAGAAAAGACCAAGGAAATAACCATCAAACATCAGCACACACACACACAGGCGAGAACCCCAAAGCAAACAACACTTTAAAACAGAGCAAAGTAAGATCTGGTACAAAAAAGAAGATATAAAACTTAGTTATAGAATTCTCTGTTGCAAAGGAGAGATAAGTAAAAAAAAAAATCAACGAAGCAGACATAAAAAAACAAGAAATGCAATAGGGAACGTTGTGTAGAAGGCAAGGTGATGAAGGAGCGGAATGCCAACCTACAATCAACGTGGAAAAAGTGAACCAAACAAGGGTAAGATATAGTTCAACAATTATAAGTAGGTATGCGGATTTGATTAGTTCGGAAGAATGAACGAAAATTTTGGAAAAAAAAAAGAAGAAGTAGTAGTAAATTCAAGCAGGCATCGAAATGAGACAAACAAATATCGAAGAGAGGAGGGATTTGTAAAAGAATCATACATTGAGCAAACACAATAGTTAATAAGTTTCAGAATGGTTTTTTTTCAGCATTTGACGATTATATTAGAAAAAACAAGGAGGCCGAATGATCTTCGGTAGTTTGGTAAAGCATGGTGAGATGTCTCGCCCAATGGATAGTGATTATGTTCGAAATATGAACAGCCAAAGCGAATACGCCATTTGGTAGATTAAAAAGCCTTCAAGACGAGAAGCCGCTAATACTGTATTGGTTTTGGTTGGTACGTCCGCGTCGTCCACCTCGGCGGTTGTTCTGGGCGTTCTTGGGCTTGTCTGCATTAGCGCCTTCAGTCTTGGGTAAGCCAAGGAGGACGCCACCACCCATTACACCGACCTTTCCACCAGAATGCTCAGTGACAGTACCTGGACCTTCTTTGAGAACTAAGCCGCCGTGACGAGTGGTAGCTGAACTGCAGGAGTTCATGCTGGATACTGATGCGCTAGAGTAATGGCGCTCACGAAGGCGACGGGACTTGACGCCTGGGGCAGGTGAAGAAGAGCGAGAAATCATCGGTTGCGCGACAAACCCACCAGGTACTTGGCCGGGAAAGGCGTATGCATGAGAATGGAAAGCAGGGATCTTAGCCGCAGGGTAGCCAATAGGTAAACTGCCAGTCGAGTGATGGCGAGCAAACATCTGAGGGGCTTGAGTCGTCACGCTAGCGGAGTTCTTGCGAGTGTGAGTGGCAGATGAGTGGACCGTTGAGGTGGTTGAAAGTGATACAGCTGAGAACGCAGATTGATCAGAGCCCGACGAGGACGACGCAGATGATGTGCGGGAGTCAGGTCTCGAAAAAGGGTCTTCTGCCGCATCAGTCGAGTTCATTTGCTTTGAGGGCTGACGGGAGTGAGAAGGACGAAGGGAGAACGGGCGGTTCATGTAGAGTGCTAGATCAGCATCATCGGTCTCATCGACGTTGCAAGACAAAGTCGTGCGTTGGCCAGCTGGTAAAGGGGTGGGCGGAATGACAGATAAGCCGGAAACGCCAGCCAAACGAGCAGCGGTGGAAGGCGCCAAGATGGGGATTGCGCGCGACTTGGACGGTGACGATTGTGAGACAGGAGTAGGTGACGTTGGACCGCGTGGAGATATAACTGGGGAGGCTAGGTGTTGAGGAAGTCGACCCCAAAGCTCACGAATTTCACCGCCCCCGGTTTGGTATCGGATGCTGACACAGCCTGGGTCACACCATACCGTCCAACCATTCTTGTTAAACAAAGCCTTCTTGAGATCCTTGATGGTTATTTTGGCCACAGATGCGATGTGACGTAGTACTGGATCGACGTAGCCATCCTGACGAGCTGGATCAAAGGAGATTGCACGGAAGCCTGAGCCACGTTCAGATTGGTCGGGGTACCAGTGTTGAGCGAGGTAACGAGTGACAAGAACGTCGAGGATATCAGGTTGCAAAGATCGAGGTAAAGTCGGGAGCTGGTCTAGAATGAATCCAGAGAGGAACTGGAGCTCTTGGGGAATCACGGTTGGTTGGTAAGACATGCCCCTGTGAAGTAAAGAAGAAAAAGGATGAGTGTCAATGTGGGGTACGAGACGTCAAAGCAAGAAAGGAAGACTGACAATGTTCAGAAGGCGCTTGAGAGATGAGTCAAGTAGCGAGGTGAATTTTGCAAAAGAGGGAGCAAATAGATAAAAACAGAGACAAGCAGTTGATATCGAAGGCCGAAAGGTAACAAGTGTTGACAAGGAAAGGTCTTTGATTGATGATACAACTCCTCGACGCAGCGGAGAATGATAAATGGATCAAGAGCAAGTTGAGCTGATGATTGAAGTGCAGGAGCGATGGGAATAAGACGGCGAATGAAGAAGCCCAAGAGGGGGGTTGGTCTTAAATGGAGCGAGACGAAGGGGTTGAATCTAAAAGAGGGGCAAAGTAAGTAGATCAATCATCAATTTCAGAGTCAAAGCCCAAAGGATGTGCGACAAAAGCAAGCAAGGAATGGGTGGGGTTGAAGAGGAGAGAATTAGAATAAGAGTCAAGACCCAAAGAGTTGGATAGGTGAGTAAAGTAGTGGCTAGTGAAACGGAAGGATAAAGGCAAACAAGGGGCTGGTTGAAATAAATGAAGATCAGAGCCTACAGCATAGGGTAGTTTGAGAGTCATACGAGAGAAAAAGAGTTAAATAGCCTTTTCAAGATCTGTGATGAGTTGCCATTATATTTCAATGGGTGTGTATGTCTGTAGATAGTCCACAGCGGCTTATGTCATTAAGGAGAGAGGAAGAGGAGATATGCAATTCAATAATGCAGGGTTAACTAGGGGGTGAAGGGCGGGAAAGAGGTGAAACAATTGAGTTGAACTAAAATTGTCTGATAAATTGTATCGAGATGGGGTGGGTTGCCTAGCACTGGTGGGAGCAAAGCTGAGCAGAGTCAATTTCTCAAGCCAAACGCAAACCGACTTTCCCATTTGTTACATT